TCTTTTCTTCTGTCAGTAAGTTCATGGTGTTAGGCTGACAGATTTGTGCTCTATTGTAGAACCTGACTGGTTTTACAGAGCTGTCCCTCCTTCTTCCAGCCTGCCACTTTGCCCCTTAAGGGGGGGGCTGAATTTGCTTTAAAGAAACTCTATAACCTTACCCATGCTAGGCAAAGTGGCAGTGTCTCTACAAATGGGCATGCTTCAGCCCCTTCTACTCACCTCATGGGCTAGTTCACATGGGGCGGGGGTGTGTGGCTGCATTGCCATTGACTTCAATGCACTGCCACATTCCGTTTCCCACCCCTGAATGCAGGAAGCTGGCCGCAATGCGATTTTTCAGTGCATTCCGGAGCCTGACCGCACTGGAATGCACTGTTTATGGTGTGCAGCAACCCTGCATGTGCTTCCTTGCAGCTTCTTGCTTATCACCTGGCAATGAAATCAGCAGTGTGGGTGACCCAGCAGGGGTGGTGATGTCCCCCGGAGATTGCCTGGAGGAGGAACACCTCCCCTTACCTGGAATTGCTGGAATGCTGGGTATTCTGGCTGATATCAGAACAGACAATGTACAGTATTATTTTACTAGTAGAATGTCTGTCTCTTTTGCGTGTGACAGATGCAACACAAACATGCTGGCTGACAGCAGAGTCATATTTAACTTTCTCACCTCTTCCGATGACAAAAGGATTGCACTCACCTCTACACAACTTTCCTGCTTTGTTTAAATATTAACTACAGTTAAAGCGGCATACTTGGGACTGAAATAGTACTATATCCATAAACTGAGCTTCAAGCTAAGCTCCAGACACCAACACTTTCATTGAAATATATTTCTCAATAGCCACATAGGATATAAATCCACTTTATGTGTGCCAAATATCTTTGAAAACGCTGATATTACCCTATAAAAGTAGTGGTGACATCATCACTGTGCTGCACATAGCCTGTGTAGAAAGCAGAGCTGTAGGAGGGGTCCAGCAGCTTCACCCACTACAGGTTGCCTGCAGAAAACTACAGGAGGGGGCGGAGACAGTGGCGGAACCACCGCCGATGCGACCGCACCGGGGCCTAA